AGCAGCAGCACGAGCAGCAGCAGCAGCACCAGCACCACCACCACCAGCAGCAGGAGGAGCCTGCTGGAATACAAACATTCTCAAAGGTTAAAAGTTCATAAAAAAAATAACTCTGATCTGTTGCGATTTCAATTATCAGGCGAGTGAGACGTTTCTTTTTGTGCAACCTAATGACTTTTTGGCCGGGCTCTCTCTTGCGAGTGCCAGTGATTCTGCAGCAAAGGAACGCTTCATTCTTTGAAGAATGAAGCACAGCTTCATGCACACACAGCTTCCGCGCACACAGCGTAGCTCACTGGTGTCATCAAAGGTCCCGATTTAAATATTTTACGTATTGCTTGTGCAACACGCAGGTGAAATGACGTTTTCCTCCGGCCATTGTGGAAAAATCTATTTGGAAAAGTGTATCGCTTTTCCTTTTAATATTTTCGAGTTGGTGATGATGGCGTCTGAGAGCTAATAAGGCTCTTGCAGAAAGAAACCCCAATACGCGATGAGATGATCAGGAGCGGTGGTGTAAGGCGCGTACGCTTGGGAGTACCCAGTGTGCAGGTTCGAATCCCTTTCTTGGCTTCTACTGATTTTCTCATTTAAAAATGTCCCAAATGTTAAGTGTATTATTAAGTTTATTTGCCTCAGTGTGTAGTGTGGGAGGAGCACTCAGTGTGTAGTGTGGGAGGAGCACTCAGTGTGTAGTGTGGGAGGAGCACTCAGTGTGTAGTGTGGGAGGAGCACTCAGTGTGTAGTGTGGGAGGAGCACTCAGTGTGTAGTGTGGGAGGAGCACTCAGTGTGTAGTGTGGGAGGAGCACTCAGTGTGTAGTGTGGGAGGAACACTTAGTGTGTAGTGTGGGAGGAACACACAGTGTGTAGTGTGGGTGGAACACTCTCTCTCTCTCTCTCTCCCTCTCCCCCCCCCTCTCTCTCTCTCTCTCTCTCTCTCTCTCCCCCCCTCTCTCTCTCTCTCTCTCTCTCTCTCTCTCTCTCTCTCTCTCCTCTCTCTCTCTCTCTCTCTCTCTCTCTCTCTCTCAGATGACTCCTACTCTGCCCATGTGTCCAAGCACCTCCAGGTGACCCGCCTGTCGTCTTCTAAGTCAAGAGAGTAATAGCACCGTCCTCCTCCCTCCCACCACGGATGCTGCCAAGACTCCTCAGGTCCATCTCAGTCTCAGGTAGCATCCTTCCCTAATTATTTCATTCCTTTATCACGCTCTTGTGTCTCCCTCTCTTCTTGCTGCCTCCCTCATTCTTACCCCTATCCTACCACCCTATCATCCCTCCCTTATTCTTGCCTCTCCATCCACTATTCTCTCCCGTGCCTTGCTGCTTCCCTCCCTCCCTATTCCCCTCCTCTTCCCCCTCCCTTCCATCGCTATTTCCCCTTCCCTCAATATTTCTTTCCCTCTCTCCCTAATTCCTTCCCGCTCCTGTACTTCTCTAACCACTCCCACTCTCGAGCTTATGTAACATTTCACTAAACACCTGAAAGGCACCTGACATGCAGACATATGTGCCTATATGTGTGCAGTTATATGTGCCCTTATATGCCTGCTTACCATTCTCTCTCTAGGTGGTTTTGCATACGTGTAGATCTAATCTTTATGCCCTCGTTGGCTTCATCTAGTTCAGTGCCAATTAGTTCTGCGTGTCTAGTTTGTTTACCCTGTTTGACACTGCGATTAGGTTATCCTGTCAAATATTACTACTTCTCCTCATCTAATTTGGATATCATTGTGAAACAATTTATATTACCTAATGTGGTATAGGGCTAAAAGTTCACCTTATTCAACTTTCATTTTTGTTTCTGTGATTGCAATAATGTCTGTCTAATGCAGACAAGTGGATTTAACTCGCACATTTGTGACTCTCCTGCTGTTAGTTGTTGTGTCTTGCATACCTTACGAAGCTGCGGCCAGATTCACGAAGCAGTTACGCAAGCACTTACGAACCTGTACGTCTTTTCTCAATCTTTGGCGGCTTTGTTTACAATTATTAAACAGTTAATGAGCTCCGAAGCACCAGGAGGGTGTTTATAACAATAACAACAGTTGATTGGCAAGTTTTCATCATTCTAAACTGTTTAATAAATGTAACCTGTCACTCCCGTCCTAGACAGATGCGCCCTAATTCTTGCATACCTGTCATATTTGCTATAGAGTTTATTTCAACTATCAATAAAATATATTTTAATTGCCTTACAATACTTATCAATTATAAAAAATTTCGTTGGGCATCTATTGTTGCCTTCTGTCCTTAAGTCAAATGTCCCAAACGGCTGGGCGTCTTCCCTTGGTGCAAATTGTATATATATATTATTAACAAGTGAGTGAGTAGCAGTGTCTCGCTCGTCCGGTTTGCCAGCGCCAAGAAAGGCGGCAGTATAATATATTTTACGTCATTGTGAAGGATCGCCAAGTTATTATTGTTAAATGTGAGTGATGTACAGTTATCATTTACCTCCTGGTGGTGGTGGTGGCAGTGACTCTGGTCTGAGCCTTGCCAGTCCTCCTCCTCCTGTTGCTCAGCGGATAGGGGGATAGGTTGTCGTCCTCGACTCCTGCGTGTTCCCCGTCCATGTGTTAGTTGTCTCCTGACCCGTGGCGCCGGGTCAGGAGAGTCTAACACTCTCTCTCTCTCTCTCTCTCTCTCTCTCTCTCTCCTCTCTCTCTCTCTCTCTCTCTCTCTCTCTCTCTCTCTCTCTCTCTCTCTCTCTCTCTCTCTCTCCTGGTTTTCTTGTGGACGGGAGTGTTGGAGTTTCTGTCTCCTGCTTACTTGAGACACCGTTCTTGCCTCTTCACCTTCTCCAACTGCACCTTTAACTCAAAAGACAGATTTTCAAGGTTGACTGAGAAAGACATTGTCGTAATCAAGATAACAACAGGAAGCCTACACCTGACCTTCCTCACTACTTCTCTCTTTCCCTCACTCTATCTCCCTCCCTCCCTCCCTCCCTCCCTGTCTACTTTCATTCTTCATGACTGTCATCTCTATATTTCTCCCCCTCTATTTTTCTCCCTTGCTAACTACTTATGATCCTTTCTTTCCATCCGCTCTTATTACTTCCTTCCATCCTAATTTTCTTCCCAGCTGCTGCTTATCTCCATTTTTTTCTCTTTTTTCCTTCTTTCATGTTGTCTCATACTTTTTACAGTCTTCCTTGTCTATACTTCGCTCTCCTTCCTTTCCTGTCTGTTCTCCTCCGCTATCCTTTCATCGTTATCTCCTCTCTCCTCTTCCTCGTCTTCTTCCCTCCTTCTTTTTAAGCCTTTCTTCCTCTTACGTCACATTCTTCAGCTCTGCCATTCCATTCTCTCCCATTCCAGACGCTCTCACACTGCAGACCCTGCTCCTTACTGTCATGTTAATTATTTCCTCCCTCCCACTCTTCCTTCCTCTCTCCCTCCCACTCTTCCTTCCTCTCTCCCTCCCACTCTTCCTTCCTCTCTCTCCCTCCCACTCTTCCTTCCTCTCTCCCTCCCACTCTTCCTTCCTCTCTCTCCCTCCCACTCTTCCTTCCTCTCTCCCTCCCACTCTTCTTTCCTCCTTCCCACTACTGTCTCCCCCACTTTTCTCAACATGTTTACACCAGCCACTCTTCCCCCTCCCTCTCCCCATTCCTCTCCCCTCCCTCCCTCCTCCCACAGTCACCTCCCCTCCCACTCACCAAAGTCTCTGTCGTTCCACTCTGGTCAGGAATTCATATTAACTTTTACACACTCAATTAATTATGTAAATAACAAACTTCTTAAAATAACTTTCGAGATATGAAACATTAAAATAACACTAAGAATAATAATGATAGGATTATATAATTATTATTATTATTATTATTATTATTATTATTATTATTATTATTATTATTATTGAGAAAATCAGTAACAGACATGAGATGGATTCGAACCTATGGTCGATCTGAGGTTTCAATTGAAGACTGAGTTGGTTTGGCTTCGGTTCAAACCTCAGAACCCGTAGAGTTTAATTCCAGGTTGCAATGCTTTTGACCGTGTCGTGGTGTAGTGGTGTGAGGCGTGTGTGTGTGTGTGTGCTTAGGAGGACCCAGAGCATAGCTTTGAATACTCCTCCTGGCTCCTTACTGATCGTTCTCGTTGATTCATCACATTATTGTGATTTCTTTGTGCATTATTATTATTATTATTATTATTATAGAGAGAGGATGGTAGGTGAGTGCTCCCAGGATGTTGATGACCCTGGGGGGGGCCGGGGGGGGGGGGCGGGGGCATCGTAAACACACATATCTCAATATATACATTTTCTCCTCGAACCCATCATTGGCACAGTCGAGAAAGTCTCTCCTGATAAACATTTTAATTTAATGACAAGATGCCATTGGTAGAGCAGAGAGGGGGGGGGTGAGCTCCGTCTTCTTAAGGCTGTCATAAGCTTAAGCCACCGTCCCACACTAGAAGGTACCTATTTTACTGCTAGGTGAACAGAGGCACCAGGTGAAAGGAGTTGTGAACATTCGTTTCTGTCCTGTTCGGGGATTGAACCAGGTTCCTTGGTTGTGAGCTTACAACTTAGACCACTCTGCTACAGGATCAATGTACAAACATAGGCATATAACTCGAGTACCTTGGTCCTGGCGGCCGAGTGGACAGCGCTCGACATTCGTAGTCCCAAGGTTCTGGGTTCGATCCCCGGTGGAGGCGGAAACAAATGGGCAGAGTTTGTTACACCTAAATGCTGCTGTTCACCTAGTAGTAAATAGGTACCTGGGAGTTAGACAGCTGCTACGGGCTGCTTCCTTGGGGTGTGTAACAAAAAGGAGGCCTAGTCGAGGACTGGGCCGCGGGGACGCTAAGCCCCGAAACCCTCTCAAGATAACCTCAAAATAACCTTGGAAAGTATTTGGTTACATAAATGAGTAAGTGTGTAATAGGAGACTCACACTACAAGGGTCAGTTCAAGAGTATATCTTGCTTCATGTACACGTCAACGACCTCGCCCCATACAGTCTCCTTCGTGTGCTGGCTTTAGGACAATGCTAATCTGGCGTGAAGAATCAAGGCTGATGAACGCTGCCAGATGGTAAAGAACCAAATTCCAGAAATGGCTTGAGTAATGGCTGTTTGGGATTGACTCTGAAATGTGCAAGGTTATGATGACAGGTCAAGGAGAAACCAGGAGCAATATAGAGTGAAGGGAAGAAACTTCCCTTATCAGAGAAGACCAGTAAGTGGTCAAACCCCAGAACTTGGCGCCAGGGCTGTCCCCCTCCCTCCCTCACCCACCCTCCCTCCCTCAACCCTCCCTCTCTCCCTCACCCACCTTCCTTCCCTCCCTCACTCTCCCCCCAACCTTCCCTCCCTCATCCCCCACCCTCACCACCCTCCTTCCCTCCCTCACTCCTCCCAATGCATAGATAACGTCAGTATTGCGGTGCTTTAATTGTTATTAGTGCGTTTCATTTGTAACGGCATCTCTGTCTCCCTCAGTCCCCTGCTCTCTCTCCCTCTCCCGTCCCTTCTGTCTCTGCCTCTCCCGTCCCTACTGTCTCTCCCTCCGTCCCCCTGTACAAACAGAGCGTTATGGGATGGCCACACACATTGTAGTTAATATTGTGCTGGGAAATACATATATATAATGAAGGGTGCCGGATATGAGAGGGCAAAAGAGGAAGGTGAGAGGGAAGCTGGGAGAGAGAGAGAGAGAGAGAGAGAGAGAGAGAGCCCTCTACCTGTTACGGCCCTCTCGGGACGCAACGGGGTTCTTGCTCTGATGTTGCTAGAGGAAGAATTAGGTATCCGTTCCCAAGCCAGTAGTGGCTATCAAGGGATGAGATCCGTGACGCAAGTAACTTAAAAGGGAGTATGGAAAGATAGTTAAGAACTTAATATTATAATTAACACCATCACCATTTAAATATATAGAAATAAAACGTACACAAGGGGGAGGGGTATTAACCCTATGCAAGGGGATTATTCACTGTAGTCTTCTGCTGAAGACTCTGGTGCCACCCACTTTCGGTGCCGATTCCTTGGTGCTCTCTTCGTGGCCTTAGAACGTGTCCTCTGAGAACGCCGAGTCTACCCTGGCCACAGGTCAGCCACAACACAGTCCACTGGGGGGCACCGTCGTGGAGGCCGTCAACCACACGTCCAGCAGGTCTGCTGGCAGGTACTGAGCCAACAAGGCTGGTACGGCCACTCCCCGAACGATAAAAGGGGTACGCCCTAGACAGGAGTCTCGTGTGATATCACCAATCACCCTCCTGTCCTCAATACCCCAGTGGATTATCGTCTCCACCGTCGGTCCCGGTAAATCCTTCCACTGCCACTCCACTGGCAGGCTTAACACACCACAGTGTTCTTCCGGGGGGACGACGTCCCACAACAGCTGCAGCAAACTTCACAGTATGGAGACTGGCTGCCTCGGGTAGACTGACTCCACCTTCAACACAGTGGTCCCAGGTCGGCTCTGTAAGCAGACACGTCATTAATTACCGGGACACTAATACACCACACTCACAGGCTCAGATACAAACGCCCGACATATCCACTTCATAGATGGCGCTGTCGTCGGAGCACCACTTCACCAGAGGTCAGGAGCGGCGGTGTTGAGCGCTGAACCAGACTGGAAACTGGTCCTCGAGGCCAGTACACGCTGTCCTCACTAGGTGTCGTCGTTCGTTTGGCGGGGGTTTCGGGAGCTGACCCACAGATGGCGTGTTTGTCACTGCTCCAGACTCGGACGTTGAATCCGGGTTCGTAACACCCCTGCTCTCTCTCCCTCTCCCGTCCCTTCTGTCTCTGCCTCTCCCGTCCCTACTGTCTCTCCCTCCGTCCCCCTGTACAAACAGAGCGTTATGGGATGGCCACACACATTGTAGTTAATATTGTGCTGGGAAATACATATATATAATGAAGGGTGCCGGATATGAGAGGGCAAAAGAGGAAGGTGAGAGGGAAGCTGGGAGAGAGAGAGAGTGAGAGAGAGAGAGAGAGAGAGAGAGAGAGAGAGAGAGAGAGAGAGAGAGAGAGAGAGAGAGAGAGAGAGAGAGAGAGAGAGAGAGAGAGAGAAACGTAAAGTGTAAGGCAGTCCATTCCACCACAGTCTCTTCCATCATTATAATCTGCTTCACGTCTATCCAGTCTCTTCCACCCCTCCCTTTTTCCTCCCCTTCTGTTGCCTCGCTTTCACCTCTTCCATCCCCTCTCTTCCAGGCCTTATTTTCAACCCTTTTTACCCCCTTTCCTTTTCTTTCATTACTACTATCCTCTCACTTTCCCTCTTCTCCCCCCTCCCTCCCGCTCCTCATTTCCACCCCTTCTCATCTCTTTCACCCTTCAAAAAACTCTTTTCCAGCCCCTCTTCCATCATCTCTTTTCCACCCGTTCCATCCCCCCTCCCCCCCCCCCCCGCCTCCATCCCTTCAACCGTCTATCTTTCTCCCTTTCATTGCCTCTGCATCACTTCTTCTTATCCACGCTATATATCTCTTCTTATCCATATTTATACCCTTTTTTGTGTTCATTAAGAGTCAAATTTATGACTAAGGAGTGTATAGGTACCCCCAGGGGGGGGGGGAGGGGTGTACCCCAGGTGGCGGGGGGTGTAAACCGCTTCTCTATGTATACTCAATGAGACTTTACCTCTGGACTATTTCCAGCCCTAAAGTGTCGTTGCTGGGTGGTCATTCGGCACTGATGGCCGCCTTAACAACCCACTAGAGGGTTGTTAAGGCATTATGCCCCAACACAAACATGGTCGACTCTACAATCACAAGCATTTAATGAGGCTGAAATTCTCCGGAATATTATATAGGAAACATTAAGGTAATACTAGTACTAATTATGATAATAATATATATAATAATTATCAATCTAATATATATAATAATTATCAATCTAATATATATAATAATTATGAATCTAATATATATAATAATTATGAATCTAATATATATAATAATTATAAATCTAATTTATATAATAATTATGAATCTAATATATATAACAGTGTTTCTATAAGAAAATAATAACATAAATGTAGTAAGCGCACGTGAAACAGGTTTTTAGGATGTTACTCATTCGTAAAAAAACAAGTTTGAGCAAGACGGAGGGGTAACTCAAGCAGACACGGGAGCTGACACCATTGGAACACACCGAACACAATTGTGCTGCATGCCTCGACCCAGTAGTGTGTGTGTGTGTGTCTCTCTCTCTCTCTCTCTCTCTCTCTCTCTCTCTCTCTCTCTCTCTCTCTCTCTCTCTCTCTCTCTCTCTCTCTCTCTCTCTCTCTCTCTCTCTGTGGAGGGTACACGAAACGCTTCTACGGACACAGCCACACTGCCATCCAATCAGATTGCCAAATAGATAGCCAGCCAGACAGCCAACCATACAACCCTCCATCAACACAGACAGACAGACATAAATCTAGACAGCCAGCCAGCCAGACAGCCACCCAGCCAGTCAGCCAGCCAGCCAGACACAAACAGATAGACAACGCGAGATCTTCGTGTCTGCCTCATTTTTAATCAAGAAAGTCATATAACGACAGAAGCGCGTACACGCGGCACCGACATGGTGTAAACTTTGCAACATTTACATATGTTATGCCAGCAGACCAGAGCAACGCTTTTGGACTACTGTGTTGTAATAGAGGAAATAGGTTTTAAGGTTTTTTAGCTTTATTGTAGAGGCGACGGATGTGAGGTGGTGTGAGTCTCTCCACCCCCCCCACTCCCCCTTCCCGTCTCCCACCTTTCTCCCCCTCTCCTCCCCTCCCCTCTCCATCTTCCTCCCCCAACATCTCCCGTCTTCCCTTTCACTCCCCATTTCTCCTTCCCTCCCCACTACTCCCCACTACCACTACCATATTTCTTAAAGCCTGGACTTGGTCTGACCCCGACCAGCCCATGATACATGCCGCCCATGTATCGTGTATGGAAGTTGGGTGGGACTAGCCCCGAGCATCTGGCCTACTTCACACAGACAAACACGCATCCTGTGATACATATACTAGGAGGGGTACCAGGGGGTAGCTGATGTCTCTTTCTGCCCCCACTCTCATCTCTCCCCCAATATTCCTCCTCTCACATATCTCTCTCTCCCTCTCTCTCTCTCTCTCTCTCTCTCTCTCTCTCTCTCTCTCTCTCTCTCTCTCTCTCTCTCTCTCTCTCTCTCTCTCTCTCTCTCTCTCTCTCTCTCTCTCTCTCTCTCTCTCTCTCTCTCTCTCTCTCTCTCTCTCTCTCTCTCTCTCTCTCTCTCTCTCTTGCGTACCAGTCTTTCCTACCATTCACTACCTATTCCTGACTGATTTTCTAATTTACTTAATTTTGTGAAGTTAATGACAAAAGTACAACCATTTATAAATAAAGTTATAGAATAATTAATTAAACTTAATTTATTCATTAAAATATAATGTAAAATTCTATATATCTAACACATGAGATTATGTTTGAACAATATATTTTACAGTTTTGAATTTTCTAGGCTTCCTTAACCAATGACAATACAGTTGGATTAACTTTGATCAAAGTTGCAAAGAAATAAGTAAATAATGAAATCCGGGATATATCTATTTAATGTGGCCGTCTCTTAGCATATTAAAATCTTCTAAGTAATCCTTCATTACATAACCGACACTTCCATCTTGATTTGTTTGGGCCTGAGCCTAAGGCCTGTGACCTGCATGATGGTTATTAAGGCCGTGGCTCACTGATCAACTAGCAAGTATACTGTATTCCTGAACATACGCCAAGGATGAGGTAAACTTTCAGTGAATATACAGCAATAAACAGGGTGCACATTTCGGTTTGTATGTCACCTTCATCTTCACCTTCACCTTCATCTTCATCTTCACCTTCATCTTCATCTTCATCTTCATCTTCACCTTCATCTTCATCTTCATCTTCATCTTCATCTTCATCTTCACCTTCAGCACAACTGGTTCCTCAATGCGATGCTCTCCCCGACAACATTTCAACCACTTAACACAGTTAGGTATATGTCATTCCCCTTGCAAATTGGTGGGGCTAACTATAAGTGTCTGGTCTCCAATTTTGGACACACAGACAGATATACAGAGAGCATGTCTCTCCCACCATCCCCCCTTTCATCCCCTCTTATTTTTCCTCTTTCCCCACGTCCCCCTTTCCCCCATCTTCATTTCCCCTCTCCCTCCCCTATAACCCATTCTTTTCCCTTACCATTTATCTCACATTTTCCCCATTCTCCTCATCATACCGTCCCTCAACCCCCATCGCTTTACCCCTTCAACCCTCATTTCTATCTCTTTACCCTTGCCTCCTCTCCCCTCCAACCTCGAACAGATAGACATTATATTTATATATACATAAGCGAATATATATATATATATACGTAAAATTTATGAAAATGCGCAGGTAATCTTTTTATATTAATACATGAGGTAGATCTGCATTAGTGCAGCTACCCTAGACTATATGAAGTGGAGTACAGTGTGTCAAAAAAGCTAACTAGGTGATGTTAAAAAATCCCCATCACACAGGATGGTTAGTCATACAGAGGCATGTGATAGGCAGTCTGCACCGGCAGACTCCGGATGCATTTTGAGGATATCATCAACACAAGACTGAATAAGGCAGTAGTGGTAATACAAGTCCCCATCTCGCAGGATGGTTAGTCATCCAGGGTCATATGTTCAGTAGCCGGCACTGGCAAATTTTGGGAACACTGTGAGCGGCGGGAATAACTTCAACACTCTACGGACAACACCTGCCCGAATTCACTTGTTTATATTTCAGACGTCATGGGAAAATGGTCTTTCTCGTGTCCTCAGTTTTAGATGCGGGTTAAGTATCCTAGTGTGGGATACTTAACCTGCAACTGTTGCATATTCATGACTCCACGGGGGCCACGTATGGGGCCCTTCACCTCACAGTCAATTCCGTGCAGGAAGAGGTTCAATTTCCTGGCCGGGCGAAGCGTTTGGGCACGATTCCCTAGAGATAACAATATAATAAAGAAAACGGCAAAGAAAATTAGTTCAGACGAGGTAGCTCCTATTTCTCTCCACCAAAATTCAATCATTTATGTCTAACCTACGCTTGAAACACTCTAGCGATCCCACCTCTAATGCAACTTGATACCTCTGTCACCTGGTCGTAAATAGGTTTTCGGTAATTCAGCGACTGTTGAAGGGTGCATCCAGGAGGTCTGGATGTCTTATACTAAGGGCTACTATGAGCCTGTCCGACTTCCTTCCCCTTGAAAAGCATGTCCTTACACCTGATGCTTGTGTGCATCCAGCAGTGAATAGATACCAGGTAGTTAGTCAACTATTGTGGCTTGTATATTGCGTAATGGCCAATCGTTGTCTAGGGAAATTCAAAAGAGAATTCCGGACAATGAGTAATCAGCACTGGAATTTCATAAGCGCGACCGCACCGTTTCTCTTCGTCTCGGCAATAAGTTCAAGTCCACAAATTCAAGATCTTTTATGACCTCGTTGAAATTCCGGACGTGTACACGAGGGTTTCAAAGCCAGGCATAATTAGGAAGGACAGATCTTTATGGCGCTGGTTGAGATTAACTTCTTCCTGACCAGGGGAAAGGGAGAATAATTCTGGATTCCCGTTGAGAACGCGCGTTTTTCACCGTCCTGTTCGTGATATATAAATTCAGAAGTTCTGGATGTGTGGTGGCTGGGAGATGGTTGACTGGTTCGTATGGGACGCTGTCATCACCCAAGCCTGGGACATGGTTGACTGGTTCATATGGGACGCTGTCATCACCCAAGCCTGGGACATGGTTGACTGGTTCATATGGGACGCTGTCATCACCCAAGCCTGGGACATGGTTGACTGGTTCATATGGGACGATGTCATCACCCAAGCCTGGGAGATGGTTGACTGGTTCATATGGAACGCTGTCATAACTTTTATTCAGTTTATCAAACAAGAAAAATTCAACAAATAAGCAAGAAACCCAAATATAAATGATAAAATAGGAATAATTGGCAAAGCTCAAGACGAATTATTTGACAGCCAATCTCTATAATTACAAATTTTAGAGAAATTAGTTTTTTTGTGAAACAGGGTGAAGCGGTCTGGAAGAACATCAGATACGTGTATGAGAAGCAGTGACATCAAAGAATACGACAAAGGAAGGGTAAATAAATGAGACGAAGGGTTGGAGAAGAGGAGGAAGCGATGGTCCGGAAGAATTAGTGAATTATAATTGGACGAGGGTTGTGTATATTACACTCTGCTTCCTCCTTTCATTACTAATTATGTGTTTTCTCTAGCGCCTTGAGAACCCCAGCTGAAGTGTTATTTACTCCAGTTTGTGCACTTCACACGACAATGGTCGATCTGTGTCTCTAGTTACGCCGCCGCCATCTCTGGTGTTGGGTGTGAAAATATCTTCCTATTCTACCCTGTGGATTCCCCCCTCAGTGTATTAAATCTCCATTGTGTCTTCTCTCACTCACTTCTATTTTCTAGCGTATTTTGGTCCGGTTCTATCAGTCTTTCTTCATACCCAGGATTGCTTATTACTGGAACGAGCCTCTCTGTAAGGCTTGGTACCGTCTAAAGTTTCCTTATGCGTTTTTTGAGGTCCGGACTCCAGGACTGAGCTGAGCTGCATATTCGAGGACGTCTTACACAGGTTGTGTTCTCAAGCGGGTAGTTTAGTGCCTGAAGGATTTCGGAATTTTCGACAATATAGAGTATGGCGCTGACGTTATCTAGTTCTTTGGTCTGCTTCAGGTAGGCGGTTCCCCTTCACTGTATCACCTGTATCACCTTCCTACTGATTTTCTGTCACTTTTTACACCTTACACGTAATGTTATCGAATTCGGTTGTTATTTATTAGACCAACTCTATATATAATAATAAATATATATAATAAATATATATATAATAAATCATATCACCTTAGCTTAGCTATAGCATTTATTTGTTTTTACTTTATAGTTTTTAACTTCTATATCAATTTTGGAAGTTAGTTTCATCAGAGAGTTAGGACCCCAATTGTTCATTCCAGCCTCGGCTGTAAAAATTTAAAACCAAATAAATTGTGGGAATTGTGTATGTGATTGGTGTTACAGCCAGTATGAGGCTGTCATACGGGTGGTGGGCGGGTGTCTGCTGGTACAGCAGTGTGGGGCGGCGGGTGGTGGGCGGGTGTCTGCTGGTACAGCAGTGTGGGCGGTGGATGGTGGGCGGGTGTCTGCTGGTACAGCAGTGTGGGCGGTGGATGGTGGGCGGGTGTCTGCTGGTACAGCAGTGGGGGCGGGTGTCTGCTGGTACAGCAGTGTGGGCGGGTGTCTGCTGGTAAAACAGTGTGGGCGGCGGGATCTCCGGGTTCCAAGCAGGGGCGCTGAGTCCTGAGGGCTGGGGCGCTGCGCTGGCTCACCCAGACGTGTATACTGACTGACAGACGGTGATGTAATTTTGAGGAAGACCTGAGTACGCGTCGGTGTATTTTCAGGAAAATATCTTCGGGACTTCTGAGGTATCGTTGCAAAAAGGCCGATATGACGGGGGATATGAAGGTAACAAGTCCAACTGGGCGGGCCGTGCGCCTGACCGCGGTCTCACCGCCGAACAGTCGCATTTCATATACATCTAAGATGCACCATGGAACCAAATCTGATTTGGCTAATGAGTTCATAAACGCCGGGATTCGAACTCACGGTTTCATCATATTCAAAATGTCTTCATTTTGTGTGGTTTTAAGCCTGACTTTGTGTATGGTTACCCATGCACCTCTTCTCCTTCTCTCTGTTCTTAAGACATTCTTCATTCTTCACTCTGTTTATCCTGTCCTTGTGTACTACCCCTTTTTTATCCTAGTTTTTTTATGCTGCGGTTTGCCAACGCAGCAGAATTCTATGCCGCTCAGTAATATACAGATATGCTGTGTCCATCAGAAAATACTCCATAAATTTGTTGAAAAAAAATCGGATAAAATTTTGCGTGCAGATTTCATTTACATTTCGTAAAAATAAATGTTTAACAAATTCGAAAAAATCGGATAAAATAAAACACACCAAAACATTTTCGATTACTACAACTTTGAAATAATTTTTTTTTTAATTTTTGATAAATTTGGTTAAAAACACAAAAATAATCTCAACAAACACACTTCTACGTACAGTGACACACATACACACACACACACACACACACACACACACACACACACACACACACACACACACACACACACACACACACAACACACACACACACACACACACACACACACACACACACACACACACACACACACACACACACACACACACACACACACACACACACACACACACACACACACACACACACACACACACACACACACACACACACACACACACACACACACACACACACACACACACACACACACACACACACACACACACACACACACACACACACACACACACACACACACACACACACACACACACACACACACACACACACACACACACACACACACACACACACACACACACACACATTATTTCTGTTATTATTAGTATTTTATTATTATTCCCATTGTCGGGGACAGGAAGCCTGTACTTAGCTTTATCGAGGTCCATCTTGGTCCACCTGCTGACCCTCCTCAGGATGCTACCCACAACAGTTGCCTAACTATAGAGGCATAGCAAATGTGCCCAACCGTTTCTACTCCGCCTGTGGGGACTGAACATATGTCCCTCGGTTGTGTGTGCCGAGGACGTAGTCTACTGCGCTACAGGCGCCCCTGTCTTACTCTGCTCACAATATTCATTTAAAATCGTTTAAATTATATGTATAAAAAATACAGTAATAGGAAAATGAACAAATACACGTGAAATATACTGCGTTTATACTTATGAATAATGTATAGATTCATAGCTGGGCTGAAGAACGTTGACGTGAAGGGAGACGAGAGGTGATGGTACTATCATGCAAGCAAAGCGTTGCTGGAACACTTTGTCTCAGCGACGGTTCGTGCCTTGCTGGAACACTCACTTTGTCCTGGTGACAGTTGATGGAACAACTTAAAAGTTGAGCTGCCATCATCCATTCTTTTCAGAGCAGCCGTCATACACAGAGCAGGAAGGGAACATGTAGCCCACACATGTATACCATGAGAGTGAGAATGTTCCCGTCTGACCAGGAGCCAGGACCAGGAGCCAAGTACCTACCAACCTCTGCATCTTTTCTCAATCTTTGGCAGCTTTGTTTACATTTATTTTTTTTTATGAGCAGTTTATGAGCTCTGAAACACTACGAGATTGATTGTTTATAACAATAATATGTGATTGGGAAATTTCAATGCTAGTTAATTGTTTAATATATGTAAACAACGCCGACAAAGTTTTAGAAAAGATGTACAGGTTCGTAAGTACTTGAGCAAATGCTTGAAGATGCCTGGCCCACGAGCTTGGGGCCAAATTCACGAAGCAGTTACGCAAATACTTACGAACGTGTACATCTTTCCTCAATCTCTCACGACTTTGGTTACATTTATTAAACAGTTTACAAGCATGAAAACTTACCAATTAACTGTTGTTATAAACAGCCTCCTGGTGCTTCGGCGCTCATTAACTGTTTCATAATTGTAAACAAAGTCGCCAAAGATTGAGAAAAGATGTACAGGTTCGTAAGTGCTTGCGTAACTGCTTCGTGAATCTGGCCCCTGGCCAAGTGGTGGCTGAGCCAGAGAATGGGACATAGTCACCACTTGGTAAGTGCCGTCGGCGGGCCGTCCTCACTCTCATTTTGTATCATATATGGATAAGGTTTATCTTGCTTTCAGCCATGCTGTTGTCACGCATTCCCTGCAAAACATCTACAATGTGTGTGACCAGTATATAAATACATTTATTCGATTTGTATTTAGCAAAGTATCTTGAACATCTACCTGCTGTAGATAGATGCTGTAGATACGATCTACTTGCTGTAGATACTCCGGTGATGGGGTTATAAGGCCTTGACACCAGCTTAACCACCAAATATACACCTCCCCTGAACACAGTCCAAGACTAAAATAACCTCTTAGTGTATATATATATACACCGAGAAACTCCCCCCTCCCCCCGTCAGGTGGGTCTATACACCCTCCTCCCGTCAGGTGGGTCTATACACCCTCCCCCCCCCAACCATTCATCAAGGCCCTCCACTCCCCAGGAAATGTAAGCTTTGTTACACAGATGATGAGGATGAGTCCTCCTGGGCCCACCGCTCACCAAGGAGCCGTCATCACCGATTATATGCAACTTCATTACATTTTCGAGTTTATTTATTATTATTATTATTATTATTATTATTATTATTATTATTATTATTATTATTATTATTATTATTTTAACAAGAATGTATGACAGACACCGTGTGTGGGAACCGACCTGTGAGATTTATATTTATTTAATTTATATGAATTTATATTTACGTTAATTTATATACTTCGATAGCAATTTGTATAATGATAAGTGGACTGTATTTCTGCAATAATCTCATAATCTCACAAATCGATCCTCTACACATTAGGGGGGGTTATTAAATTAATATATATGCAGCCAATCAAACTACAGTAACTACATACATTGAAGAGGTTCCTTATCTTATAGTACAGCAGGTTAGTCCACCAGGTATAACTAGGGTGTAGACACCAAATTATCCTCTTTGAGGCAGCTTCCATCACCCAGTAACTGGTGCACAAAGTCTTGCTTCCTCGACTTGACCTGTCAAAAGTGCGCTAGCTGTGAAGCCAGAATCCTATATATGACAAGCTATATCAGAGAAAACTGTACATGGAACATGAAGACCTGGCTTAATTACCTTTAGTTTGAGGCTTCCACGTGCTCTAACCGGGTCACCCTATATTAATGGCCATAAATGAATGATAAACGGGTTTCGGATAGACACTTAACTTGAATTTGTAGACAGCGTGTTGACAATGGTACACCTTTGGGTTCCATAACACTACGTCCAAGTAAAATTAACAGGAGCCGAATTTGCTCCTGTGTGAGCCTCTGGTCTCGTATAAACCATGGCTGTTTAACACTCCATACTATTGACGTTACTGGCCGACATTGTCCAGAATGATAGGAGCCGAATTTGCTCCACACGTCTCGGAGGTGACACAACAATGGCTCCCCCTTTCCTCCCTGATGCCTGGCCTACTTTGTCCACATGTCAGAAAGTGATAGAAGGGTCACATTTACTCTACTTTAATATTGATAATTAAGTTAATTTATATAAGATGTTTTTATGATGGTAAAGTCCAAAGACTAATGTATTTAAGAATAATTCCCAGCAGAATAGCTGGTGAATTATAATAGTATGTGGTGATGATATCCCGTTTTCTTTAGACGGTAATTCCACTACAAGTTACGTTTTCTATGGGTAACTTGTTGGTAATACAGCAGAAATTATTATCTGTCTGTATGATATATTAAATGGTGTCGTATTTTCCGACATAATTCCCCAGGGGGCTGCTCACGGGTCGAAGTCCTAATTAGAACAGACGAACACCGATACTCCTCCTTCGAATTATTAGATTAATTTGATGTTAGTAGTTAGTAATCACACATTTGTGTGTCTGTTCGTACAGGACGGATGTCCCGTACTAGAGTTGCAGGGGTTAGAAGTCTAATGCGATTTCATTTCCCTGTCAACTCTTGAAAGGCTAATATTCAAGCCTTATTACATATTATTTAACCAGAAGACTGGATGTGATCAAGTACTACAGTCAAGTATGATTCAGGGACTGCAGTGAGATCAGTGACATTAGATATAACTTGAAGTTTCTTCAGGTAACTGGTCACTGATATATAAACACTGAGGCCCATGGAATACATCTTGATTAAATAATAAATGTATCAAATCAGTCATCAGATTTATTGGGGTTTAATTTAATTAATTGATTCAGAGGATTGAATAGCTCATCATTAAAGTAAAGTATGGTTCTGAGACTGCAGTGGGTTCAGTGACATTGGTCGCAGTGACTTGTAGCTGTTTTAGGCTACTGTTCACTGATTTGCCACTGAGGCCTCATGAACTCATCTCCAGCTTTAAATGATGATACTAACATCAACCTCTGTTGGTATAGTCAGCTGTAATCTCCTTAGTATAATGCTACTGGAGAAATATAATCAGCTGACAAATTCAGATTTCTATTGGTATTGTTTATCTGCAGGCATAGGTCTCCTCGGGCTTGATACTGGGCCTGAGAGTAATTTACCTCCTGCAGACTTTAACATGGTTATACCCTGATATTTAGTAGGGCTACCGATGAATCGATGGTAGTAGTCTGTCCCCACAAGGACAGCCATTTGGCATTTGATTTGCTCAAATTTACCTGCAGCTGCTTGATAATAGCTTTCCAGGTCAGCATAATCAACTTGAGATTGTTGTGACAAATCTTCACATTTCTTGATCTGTCTTGTTAAGTGGCCTTTAAGACCTGCAAGGGTTCTTTTCATTCTCCCTGCATTATCCATACTGGCTCGTTGGTGAAGCCTTGTGGGACTTGTACTTGGGCTGCTCATAA